GATCATAGGATCTAAATCATCCTGTAGCCATGGATGTTCCCAAATTAGCGTTGAATTTCCTGTCCCAATACGCCGCCTTACTCCCCCACAGACCAGTTCCTTTGCTGCCATAATACTACGCCAGCAGAAACTAGGATTGTTCCCCAACTCTGCTTCATAAAAGGTATGCCTGGGTAATATCTAGCCCGATAAACACGTGATACCAGTGAGTCAGTATTTGTTAACATCCGACATGCCTGCTTACCCAACATTGCTAGATTAAACGCTCTTAGGTCCTTAAAACCTAGCCCTCCAAATTTCTTTGGGACACACAACTTGTCCCATGCTCTCCAATGAATACCTCTGTCAGTTCCTGTCCCCCACCAGTATCTATTCATTGTTTGTTCAATAGCCGTGCAAACAGAAATAGGCAACAAAAATACTCCCATCGAAAAAGTAGGCATTGCTTGAGCCACACTTTTTAACAGGATTTCCTTCCCAGCTTGTGATAACAACTTTTTACTCCAGGATCCAATCCTCTGCCTGATCTTATCTTCAATATATGCAAATGCCGCTCTCTTATTTCTTCCCACAAAAGAGGGTAGACCCAGATATTTTCCAAAATTAGGAGCCTGAGTAACCTGTAATATTTGCGCCACCTCATTCCTGTCATCCATAGTCGTATTACTGATGTAGCATATACTAGACTTATGGTAGTTGACCACCTGGCCAGAGAAAGCCTCATATGTTGCCAAACAATTCTTAACCTGTGTGGCCTCATGTATATTAGCCTTAAAAAATAAAAGGCTATCATCTGCAAAAAACAAGTGAGAAATTGGTGGAGCACCCCTGCACCCATGGATCAAACCATCACTCTGCGCCTCCTGCAACAACATAGATAATCCATCCGCACATATAATAAACAAATAAGGAGATAAGGGATTTCCCTGCCTTAGCCCACATGTGGGTGTCAGGCAGCCAGTCCGGGCTCCATTTATCAAAAAGCTATAGGATACAAAAGAAACATCATAATAAGCTTAATCCATGTCTCATCAAACCCCAGTGCTACAAGCATTCCTTGCAGGAAAGGCCATTCCATACGATCATAAGCCTTAACCATATCCAATTTTAGGGTTCCCCAGCCAGCAACTCCACATTGCTTCCTATTCAAATAGTACCCCACCTCCGCAGCTATCAAAATATTGTCAGTAATGAGTCTGTCAGGCATGAATGCACTCTGCGATTATGATATAATATCCCCCATCATTGGTTTCATCCTGTTCGTGATCATTTTTGCCATAATCCTGGACACTACATTACTCAAAGCTATAGGCCTCAAATCTGTTACCAACTCAGGCATATTCTTCTTTGGAATCAATACAATATCCGTATCATTTAAACCAGGGGGAAAAGAGCATGAATTCAAACAGTTTAGTATAAACTCCGAAACATCCCCCCCTACCACATCCCAGAAGTGCTGATAAAAGCCCGGATTCATTCCATCCGGGCCTGGAGCTTTATCAGGAAACATCGCAAATAGGGCACTCTTAACCTCATCAATCTCAAATGGCCATGTCAAACTCTCATTCTGAGCTTGAGTGACTCTAGGCATTATTCTCTGGAATAACGATTCCCCCGAAGCAGGATTCCCAGAGCAAAATATCTTATCAAAATAGTCAATTATAACACCCGTCATGGCACTTCCCTCCAACCACTCCCCATCATCATTCATAAGTCTAGACAATGTATTTTTCTTTCTACGGTGAGAGGCATACCTGTGATAATAAGTCGTGTTGGCATCGGCATTCTTAAGCCAATGCTGTTTGGCTCTTTGCTTCCAGTAAGCATCTTCCTGCGCCTCCATACCAGTCAGCATTTCTTCCAGACGTTGGAACTCAGCCAGAGAAATTGGATCCATACGCCCTCGTAGGGCCACCTGTTCTTTTCTAAAAGCCAAGATGCGCTCGCCAAACTTATGAAACCGGTCACCCTCGCCCCCCCCCCCCCCCCCCCCCCCCCCCCCCCCCCCCACCGTGAGAGCCGATTGCCACAATGAAGTATACATTCCTGCAAGCCCCTATCTCTCCCATATTCCCATGACTCCTCCACCACCTTCCTGCATCCTTCATCATATAACCAAGCCATTTCGAATCGAAAACCCCTCCTCCCTGGCCTGCCCCGGTGCTCACGGATTCCCAGAAACAAAACAGTGATCCGATTTCCTAGTCAGTATATTTGTCACACACCAGCTCTGGGAGGCCAGAACCTTATCCAACCTCTCCTCAATCCAGTTGGCTGTTCCCTTTCCATTCTCCCATGTAAACTGATAGCCATTCATCGGTAATTGGGACAACCCACATTGCTCAATAACATCCCCAAAGCCGCGTAGGAGATTATCAGGATGTGGGTTTCCCCCCTCTTCTCATACTGATACAGGAGCTCATTAAAATCACCAATCATAACCCATGGTAGGTTAGACCATGATGCCAGTGTCTTAATCAACTCCCATGCCTCGTAGCGCATGTGACGCTCCGAAAACCCGTAGTAACACATCATACGCCAATTCGGAAAACCAGCCATACCTCCACATCAATATGATTCTTCGAATAACTCAGCAGCCTTTCCGTATTATTCTTTCTCCACAAAAAAGCTAAACCACCACTCAACCCATCATTATCCACATAGAACAGACCATCAAAACCAAGACTGACACGGATGCGCTCAGCATGACTCCTGTCAACCTTAGTCTCCATAAGAAATACAAAGTCAGGCTTCTTACGTGACACCAGGTCACTTACTTCGCGAATTGTTCGTGGATTGCCCAAGCCACGACAGTTCCAACTTAGGATACACATGATGACGGGCGAGCCTGGGATCCAGAACCCGTCATAAACAAGTTTTTTGAACTTTCCGCCATTGTCACATCCTGATTACTCTCACGAACATCAATCTCACCAACCTCCCTCCTTCTCTTCATAGCTGCTGCCATAGCCGGCTCGGGCCCCCGCCGGCCAGGATCCAGGCTTGCCGTAGCGGCCTCGCCTAACCCTCCCGGCAGTCCAGAAGCCACGGCTGCCGCCGGTTGCACCGGCTTCCCCTCCCTGTCCAAGAGCCACGGGGCACCCACCTTGCGCGACCCCCTCTTCTGCCCGGCACGTAGATCGTCAGTATATGGATACTGGTTTACCGTTAAAACTGATTCCCGAGCCTTCAAGCAATACCTATACAGGTGTCCAAGCATACCGCAGAAAAAACAGAAATTATGCAGTCTCTCATACTTAAACATTACCCAGCAGGTGGTCTTGTCACGCTTCAGCAGCTTCATACGACGCTTTAGGGGCTTCGAGATTGGAACCGAAACCCTAATGCGATAAAAAGTTATCCATGGCGCATCCGTAAACCTGTCATCCATCTTCATAAACGTCCCCAAAAAATTCCCTATTTGCTCCAAAATCACATCCGAAGTATAACCAAGGGGCAATTCGTGGACTTGTACCCACATATCAATAGTATCAAGAGGTACCATAACAGGGACTTCACCATCCTGAACCTGCTTACACACCAGGGTATGATTCTCAAAGGACCACGGACCCCCTTGAAGAACATGTTGTATGTCCGTCTCATGATGGAAAACGAACAAAAACAAACCTTGCTGAATTTCAGACACTTGCACTCCTTTTACCGGTTGCCACACTGATGCCATGACCTGACTCATAAACTCAAGCTTAATTATCTTGGTCGTCAAGAAACGACCTACCAACCTCCACATCTCGGTCGTCGGTTGTGAGCCATCGCCGTCAACCCCTCCAACCGGCGCGAACACCTCTTCATCTTCATCTAGAGCCATGTCGGCCCACCTTCTCGCCAACCCATCTACCGCTCCATGCTGCCCTGCTGCTGCCATGCGTACGTAACCGAAGGAAAACTAGCGCTTCTCCGTAGGAAGGAATCAGAAACCAACGTGAACGCCTTGGCTGCCCAAGGAAAAATATCGGAACCCTAGTCGCAACCCTAGGGAGAGAACTCTCAATCGTATATGATTACTTTAAAGTCTAATATATGTGAAATTTCAATACTTGATATCTAAACAAAACTTGTATTAAAATATAACATAACTAAAAATATCGAAACCAATAAACATATTTTTTGTTTTCTATTTTCTGTTATCTAATTTTTCAATTTTTAAAGAACTTCAAAATTCTTCTGTTAGTAAACCAGTCTTCATTTTCCCGTCAGTCTTCCTTCTTATTAGAAAGCACTGCAAGATTTTAGTTTAAATCCTCTTTCCATCACATTTTCTAAAGATATTAGTGTTTGATATGATTTAAATAAAAAAGAAATAGACGGAATATTGTTTTTCAAAATTTGCTCTTCATAGAAGAAGACCAACATAGGAAAGTTAAAAAGAATAAACTGAAAATTGGAAAAATAAAAAGTTTGTGGTGTTTAAATTTTAAAAAGAAAATATTATTTTAAGATGAACTGAAAGAAAAGTATAGCAAATAAAGTAGAGCAGAGAAAATGAATGTTAGAGAGTGGATTATGGGTTTTACTTAGAGTAAATACCCAAAATGGTCCCTCAACTATAGCTAAATTCACAAATTGATCCTTGACTTTCAATTTTAACCAATTAAGTCCTTAACTTTGCAATTTTAACACGATTTGGTCCTCCCTCTATTTGACCGTTTGTTGACCGTGATCTCTGAGGATATATATGTAATTTCATCGCCGCCCGCCCTCATCCGCTGCCATGACACAGTCTATCGCCCAGCCACAAGCCACTGCCCAGCCGCCCTCATCTACTGCCATTACACACTCCACCGCTTAGCCTTCACCTACTGCCACGACACAATCCACCGCCCAAACACCTTCGCATAATTCATCATTATCGATGCTACAACCCAATTTGCAATCTTCATCAGGTCTAATGCTGCAAACAACCGTGTCTGAGTCTACTAGGCGGCGTCGCGATTCTCGTGTTCAACAAGAAGCGCGATTTGGGTCGGGCCAAGTACTGACTCATGCACGTGGTCTGCACGTACAAGGGTGCCGACGATAGAGCCTACCGCTATGTTTACGAGCAGGAAGATCCGCAAGGGAAATTCGGAATCAACCTCTCAAAATACCTAATGGTGATCGCCGGCGAAGCCCTCAAATCCAACATAACCACAATCGGCCCGCTCGTTCTCCCGCTGTCGGAGCAGCTCCTCCTCCTCTTCACCCTGATCGACCGGAAAATCTTCAATCCCAAACGGAAACCCTACATTCCCGACTTCAAACAGGCCTTCGAACACTTCTGCATCAACGCTGGCGGCTGCGCTGTCATCGACGATCTCCATAAGAACCTGCAGCTTTCGTCGGAGCACTTGGAGGCCTCCAGGATGACGTTGTACCGTTTCGGAAACACGTCGTCTTCTTCACTCTGGTACGAACTCAACTACATTGAATCCAAAGGGAGGATGAAGACAGACGACAAAATTTGGCAGATTTCTTTCGGCAGTGGATTCAAATGTAACAGTGCGGTTTGGAAATGCAACCGGAACCTTAAAAAACCAACGATGGACCATGAAATTACATATATATCCTCAAAAATCACAGTCAACAAATGGGAAAATAGACGGAGGATCAAATAGTGTTAAAATTGTAAAGTTAAGGACTTAATTGGTTAAAATTGAAAGTCGATGACCAATTTATGAATTTAGCTATAGTCGAGGGACCATTTTGAATATTTACTCTTTTACTTATAACATTGGGTCTTGTAATCTTGTAGTGCGTAAAAGAATGTTAGGGGAGTGCTTAAGGGCGTAGAAAGTAAAATTACTAATTTAATTGTATGTCCATATATTTAATACTATTAGTAATATATTATTCATATTAGACTAGGACTATATTATTCGTGTTAGACTAGGATTTTATCTAGCATCTCTACATATTCGCTCCTTGTACTCTCAGACATTAATATTGAATACAACACAATTATATTCTCATCTGGTATCAGTTAGCTAGGGTTTTCCGATGACATCGAACCAAACTAATTTCTTGTAAAGACACGGCGTCACCTCGCTTCGTAGCAGTAGCCGATGGCATCGAACCAAGATACACCGTATGAGAAGCGGTCTAGTCAACGACGTGACATTGATGATCCGTGTCAAATTTGTAAACTTTTTGGTCACATGGGAGCCAATTGTTTTTGGCGTTATGATGATCCTTGTCAAATTTGTAAACGTTTTGGTCACACGGGAGCCAATTGCTTTTGGCGCTATGATGATCCTTGTCAAATTTGTAAACGTTTTGGTCACACGGGACCCAATTGTTTTTGGCGCTATGATGATCCTTGTCAAATTTGTAAATGTTTTGGTCACACGGGAGTCAACTGTTTTCGGAATTATTCAAGGGCTCCGGGTTTTCAGGCTAATGTGGGCGTCTCTAGTAATAATGGTGATTCCAACGGTCCTCATCAGTGGTCCCCTGACACTGGTGCTACAAATCATGCTACGCCTGATTCTTCTTTGATGACTTCTGCGACACGTTATGATGGCCAGGAGACTCTGCGAGTCGGCAGGGGTACATGTTTGCCCATTGTTAATGTTGGTTCCGCTTCGTTAGCTACTAATTCTAGATATTTTAAGTTACATGATGTTTTACATGTCCCTGGTCTCTCTTCTTCTCTATTGTCTGTCCAGCGTTTTGCAAAAGACAAAATGTTTTCTTTGAGTTTCACCCCCTTTGTTTCTATGTGAAGGACATTTTGACCAGGAAGGTTCTTTTTAAGGGACATGCGTCTGGGGGTCTCTACACATGGCCTGCGTCCTCCTCAGCTCCTGCTGCGTTTGTTGCTACGCGATCCTCTTACGTTTGGCACATGTGGTTGGGGCATCCTCATTCTTGAGTCTTACGTAAAATTTTAACGTCTTCGTCTATTGGTACATTTAATTCTAGTATTCTTTCCAATGTCTGTTCCTCTTGTCAATTGGGAAAATCCTCTCGTTTTCCTTTGACTCGTGTCGAAACTACTAGTACGCATCCTTTGGAATTAATTTATTCAGATATTTGGGGCCCGGCGCCATTACTTTCTGCGTTTGGCTATAAATATTTTGTGTTGTTTGTGGATGATTACACTCGTTATATGTGGTATTATCCCATGCGTGCTAAATTTGATTTGTATGCTATATTTGATAAGTTTCGGTCACTCATTGAACATTCTTTTTCTCGCAAGATTATTTCCTTTCAATTTGATTTAGGGGGGAGAATATAAAAAGCTTGGTTCCACTTTTGCTTCGCTGGGTATTCGCCACAGGCAATCCTGTGCGTATACTCACGAGCAAAATGGTTGAGTGGAACACAGACATCGTCATGTTGTTGAGACAGGGCTGTCTTTAATGGCTCAAGCATCTGTCACGTCTCATTTTTGGGACTATGCTTTTGAAACTGCTGTGTATCTAATTAATAAAATGCATACTCGTGTTCTATCTGATGAGTCCCCTTACTTCCGTTTGCATCGATCTCCCCGTCCTATTCTTACTTGTGAGTGTTTGGCTGTTTGTGCTTTCCTGTCCAATGTCCTTATAATCGCAATAAAATCCAGTTTCATTCATCTCCCTGTGTCTTTCTAGGCTATCCTCCGCCTTATCGTGGTTATCGTTGTTTGGACACTAACACTAACAAGGTTTTTATCTGTCGCCACGTGCGATTCGATGAGACAGTGCTTCCCTTTGTTTCTCCTATTGCCTCGCAGGTTGCTACACCGCGTTCCAAACTGTGGGCTACTGCACCAATTGTGACGGGCCAAGGAAGTGATGTCTCGACCACGGTTACTGATGGCGCTAGGCAGATTCACGAGCCTGTGGCGACTTTTAGCGGTGATGCCGATCACGGTCACGAGCAGTCCGCATCGAGTGAGCAAACTGTCTCGGACTAGCAGGTTGAGCAGCGCGGCAAGCCGCGCAGACGTCCTTGACGTGCTACTCTGCCTCCTCGGTCGCATAGCATGAACACTCGCAGCTCCGGCCCGCATCAACATGTTTCCTTAACCACTATTTCCACTATATTGCCTGAGCCTGCCTGTTACTCTCAGGCGGTCAAGTTTCCTGAGTGGCGTGATGCAATGGATGCGGAGTTCAATGCCTTGGTCCATAATCATACGTGGCGTCTCATTCCATCTCAACCAGGTATGAATGTTGTTGGTTTCAAGTGGGTTTTCAGAACCAAACGGAAGGCCGATGGTTCAATAGACCGTCATAAAGCAAGGTTAGTAGCCAAGGGTTTTAATCTGGTTGCTGGAGATGACTTTTTTGAGACCTTTAGTCTTGTGGTTAAGCCCACCACAGTTCGTCTTCTCTTATCTTTAGCCGTATCTCGTGGGTGGTCTATTCGCCAGTTGGATATTCACAACGCTTTTTAAAATGGCGAGCTAGCTGAAACTGTTTACATGCGGCAGCCACCTGGTTATGAGGATAAGTCGTTACCTAATCATGTATGTTTGCTTAAAAAATATCTATACTGTCTCGAACAGGCTCCACGTGCATGGTTCACAAGACTACATGATTTTCTTGTCTCCGTGGGCTTCTCGCATTCTAAGACGGATGTGTCTCTTTTTATCTATTCTCATGACATTATTCGTCTTTATTTCTTGGTGTATGTTGATGACATTTTAATTATGGGTTCTGACTCAGATCGTGTTACTGCTCTTATTGATAAATTTGCACTTGAATTTAAGGTTTGTGATATGGGTATGCCTTCTTTCTTCTTGGGAATAGAAACTGCCCCGTTATCTGGCGGTATGCTTTTATCCCAACAACGGTACATGAAGGCTATTCTCAAACGTGTTGGCATGGTGGACTGCAAGCCAGTAATCACGCCTGTCTCTTCTGCGAAAATCACAGACGACGTGGCCGTTCCCTATGCTGATCCAACACAATATTGGAGTTTTGCTGGTGCTCTCCAGTATCTTACGGTAACTCGTCCGGATCTATCTTACGTTGTTAATCTATTGTGTCAACATATGCATGCTTCCACTACTACAGACTGGGCCTCTCTAAAGAGAGTCCTGCGGTATGTCAAAGGCACCCTGAATCTTGGCCTGCATATTTCTTGGTCTACATCTATGGATATTTACGCCTATTCTAACTTAGATTAGGCTGGCGATCCGAATGACCGCAAATCTACTAGTGGCTTTGCTGTGTTCTTGGGCAGTAATCTTATATCTTGGGTTTGTCAGAAGCAACGGACTGTGGCACGTTCTTCGACTGAAGCAAAATACAAGGGAATCGCTGATGTATCTGCAGAAGTTACATGACTCGTTTCTCTGTTACATGAATCGGCATCCCGCTTGCGTCTCCTCCTCGACTATGGTGTGATAATTTGAGAGCTACTTATTTATGTGTCAATCCAGTGTTTCATGCCCGCACGAAGCACATTGAGATTAACTATCATTTTGTTCGCGATAAAGTAGCCAAAAAGGAGTTAGAAGTGCACTTTATTTCAACCAAGGATCAACTAGCGGATATTTTCACAAAGTCTCTGTCGTCACTTCGTTTTAACTCTCTCCGTGAGAAGCTCAATGTTTTGGCTAGCCAACCTTGTGCTTGAGGGGGAGTATTAGGACTATATTATTCATATTAGACTAGGACTATATTATTCGTGTTAGACTAGGATTCTATCTACTATCTAGCATCTCTATATATTCGCTCCCTGTACTCTCAGACATTATTATTGAATACAACACAATTATATTCTCATCAATACACGTGCATGTTCATACGCACAGAATTGACAACCATATAACTGGGGGAAGTGAATGGTAGCATCAAAAACGGTCCGGCTCAGAGGAATTAACAGATCCGTCAACATTACTGTCCTGGAGTTTCATTGAGATAAAATAGGAAAGGAACCTGAGACTACTGATACCGATGAGAATCATATGGAGATTAGGATAATGAGTCATAATATGACTCAAATATATTATCTCTCCATCTAAAATTATCAAGGAATGAAAATTAAGGGAAAACGCTATAGCATTTATGTAATTATAATTATTGTGCATTTGAAAAAAGTTTCAAAATGCATTGTCAATTATTCGCAAATTAATTGTCAAAGCATTTACAAATATACTGTCAAAGCATTTTCAAATGCACAATCATAATTATAGAAATGTTACAATATTTTTTTTCTTAATTTCCAGCCATTGATCATCTTAGATGAACATATGAGATTAGTTTGCACATTTTTACAAGAAATCCAGTTGTTATGTGAGTCATAGTTAGTGGTTAGCCAATAATAGTAATCATACCATATTCCAAACCTACAACAATCTAGGAAAAACCCCAAAACTACACAAATCTAAAGTCAATGACTTCGATTGTAGTCCAGATTCCTTCCATAGGTTGCAGGACCATTTTTTAGGTTTTTAACAGAGTGGAATATTATCCTTTCATAGCAGCAAAAAGAAAGAGCAAGGAATGTCTAGAAGATGAGAAGATTCTTCCCCACATTCTTTTATCAACTTTTGGATTAAAAGGTAGGCTTTTATACACAAATTCCTGCATATCCACAAAGTAACAAAAGGTGAATCCAAAGTGCTATGTCTTCATTTATTCCTATTTCCATAGCCAGCAATTAGGAATTTAGGCCCATGATGAGGGAGGGACCATTGGCTCACTCCCCAAATAAAGGAAGATCCAATAGTCCACCTGCTTTATAATTGGGCTAATTTAATTTAATTTATTTTTTAATTAGAGTTGTTGTAGTATGAAAAGTCATTCCACATCAACTTTATTGGCAAATTATTCTGTGGAAGGTAGACCTGGATAAAAACTATACAATTTACATACTGAATATTCATAATTTACATATTAAATGTTTAGAATTTACATCATGGCAAAATTTGAAGCTTGCATTGAAGCGTCTCTATTTCTTGCTCACGTTGCAAGTGCACACGACTTCAAGTGAGAGAGCTTTCTAACAACATATTTCAAGTACCCTAAAAATTAAAATGTATTTATTCTAGTCCAGACCTACATACTTTTCCAGTGCAAAACAAAAATTCTTACACTGATTTTTGGCCCGATTCAAATCGGTAATGAAATCTATTTCCAAAATAATTTTGCAAAAATATAAAGTTTATGCAAACTTTTCAACAAATGTCTTAAGAAACTTGTTAAGTAGTTTGTAGCTCAATGACACCTTTATGGTTCTTCCAAATATAATAAAAGGTCACAAGTTCGAACCTTAGTGGGGGTATTGACTATTTGTGCTTTAATAGATTAACAAAGTATATATGGACATATATTATTTTATAATAAAGTCAGTAGTACTTAAAAAAAAAAAAAAAAAGCCCACTATACAAGTCAAAAAGGCAGAAGACCTTGACAAGTGAAGTCATCCAAAAAAGTAAGACAAAATATAAAGCAAATCTAATCCAAAAGTAATTTCAATATCATGAACTATGCAATAGAGAAGACAGAAGTCAATCTTCAATTTATGTGTGAGCTGCAATTGCTTCCAATCCAAATAGCAAGCCAAGGGCACCTAGTATGCCCAACAAAGCTCAAAAGAAGCTACATATCCCCACATCATAAATGAAATACAATCACAAATATAGGAGGAAAAAGAGAAACAATGAAAAAAAATTATTAGTAATAGTCACTTTTAGCAAGTGACCAACTATCATTGGATTTGATAGATTTATATCTTCCTAATCATGAAAAAACTCCAACTTTGTACCCTTAAGATGATTTGAATTTTTAAAACTATAAATTATTGTCTAAGATCTTGTGATCGAGTGATACTGTTCTTTAACTTTAAATTAAGGTGTGAAAAATGTGACCCCAATTTTCTCAATTATGTTAAAAACAATTATAAGTGACACGATAATTGGGTAATGTGTACCCGACCTGAAGAGACTAGGGGTCACATAACGGCCGCATACATGCTTAAGAGAATACTGCAATATTTACTTCAGCACCACCCCATTAAAGAAGAAGCAATTATAATGAAACCAGACACTTGATGTAGACTCCGTCATTACTATAAAATCCGCTACACTGGGCAAAGAGACGTTGTACACACTAGTATAAATAATAGACCCTGTTTCAAGCAGAGGACACTCAATACTTTTTACTCAAAATTATTAAGCAATACTACTTGTCTGGATACTCTTTCTATAAAATATTCTCCTGTAACATTTATACCGTTAATAAGATTATTTAAAAGATATAAAACTAAACATGAAATTATTAGCATATGTGAATAAGCAAAAGTGTAATCTATTATTATTATTGAGCTAATAACCAAAACGGTCATCGACTGTAACGATTTTTCTCAATTTCGTCCTAAACGATTTTAGTGACCTAATGTAATCTCAGAGTTTTGTGTTTTTGCTCAATTTAGTCCCAAATTTTTGTATTTTTGCTCAATTTAGTCATCTGTTTGTTATTCCATCCATTTGGTGTTAAATAGATAGACAATTTAATAATTTCAATATTGGTCTATATTTACTCCTAGACCTGCGAAGTGCGAAATCCCTATGTTTTTACGAATTATTCCTAAACCTGCGAAGATAAAATTTGATTCGCAAGTTGGAAGTAATTCATACAAGAAAGAGGAATTTCGCACTTAGTAGGTTGAAAGTAAAGAGAGGTCAATATTGAGATTATTGAATTGTCTCTTTATTTAACACCAATTTGACGGAATAAAAGACGGAAGACTAAATTGAGCGAAACACAAAAGTTTGAGACTACATTATTTCACCAAAATCGTTTAGGACGAAATTGAGAAAAATCACTATAGTCGAAATGACTATTTTGAGTATTAACTCTATTATTATTATTATGTTTAATTTACAACACTCAAAATGGGATACGTGGCTCATTCTTCTCCGCACGTGTAAAGTTAGAAAAAGCCAATGGGGAAACGGAATCTTTGATTGGATCAGAAATGGATCTTGCTTTGTTTCGGGATTCAGAAGAACACAGTGGCAGGGCTGGCCCACTTCCATCATTGTCCTTTTGGACCGCTGTAGCCACGTGCTGGGCCGGAGCAGTTGGGCCCAGAAGAGTTATGTTTGCCACGTCAGCGCGTGTGTGAGCCGTTGATCTTGTGAGGGATGGTGGAGATGCCTTGTTTCAGGAGCTCGTTGAGGACACACTCAGTGGAGGGTGGTTTTAGTCCCAATGGCAGTGGCAGCCATGGCTTGTTTATAGCCTCTTTCACTACTTTGTCAATCACCTCCTCTGCCTGCACAAAAATCGAAAAAAAAGACGTTGATTCAAGTGGAATGGGTTCGAGTCGTTTAAACGTGAGTCTAAAAAATCAAATTTATGTGTGTGCAACAATACCGTTAAGAATTCAAATTTGTATAAATCCGTGAAAGAGTGAAAATTGAACTCGAAACCAGTACTATTACTTGTACTTATTTGTCGGATTGGATGGTCCATTTGTCGGATTGGATGGTCCATCTCGCCTATAATGGCGGGCCAAGGCTAAGGATTCGATTTTCAGCAAGTTGTTTCAAGCTCAAAAGTTTTTGAAATCTTATACTGATCGGGTATAATGGCGGGCCAAGACTAAGGATTTGGTGCTCAACTAGTTGTTTCAAACTCAAACGTCTATATCTTATATCTATGCTTGGAATGTCCCATTTTGCCTATAATGGCGGGCCAAGACAAAGGATGCGGCGTTCATCAAGTTGTCTCAAACTCAAACTCAAAGGTCGAAATCTTATACCTAAACTCATATGATTTAGTAGGATTTGCTCCAAGATTCAATTGGATGGAGATTTTGTGATTGATGACAGATGAAACAACCCAAATGTTGATAATTGATGATGTAGCCAACATCTAATATGCAATGGTAGCTATGCTAGCAAGGATTGGTTGGATGTTATCTAGGTAGGCCAAGATTAACCAATAACTTGTGACAAAATGTGGAACCGCCCACCCTAGGCGGATCTTACTCCCCGGCCGACAGTATTATGGAGGGGTAAATCATGGTGACTCAACTGATCAACAGAGTGTAGACTTTTGCTCAGTACGCGCAAGAAGCCCCTCATTTTGAGAGAAGCTTAACCAATAACTTGTGACAAAATGTGGAACCGCCCACTCTAGGCGCTCCTACTCCCCGGCCTGACAGGATTATGGAAGGGTAAATCATGAAGACTCAACTGATCAACAAACGCTCTTACTCCCCGGCCCGACAGGATTATGGAAGGGTAAATCATGGTGACTCAACTGATCAACAGAGGCTAGACTTTTGCTCACCGGGCGCAAGAAGCCCCCCATTTTGAGAGAAGCTTAACCA